GATACCCAAAACCCTAATCCCCAAACCCTAGATTCATCTCCCCTCAATCCTCCTCCCTCCCTCCAATCCAAGGAAAAAATCCCAATCCTCCCATAAACCCTAACCTCACCTCCCCTCCCTTCAATCCTCCCTCCCTTCCCCCCTCCAATCCAAGAAACCACCCCAAACCCTAGTTAATGAGCAAAAGATCACAAATCGGCCTCCCTATAACCCTCTCCGGTCGGTTGAAAAGGACATCAATTTTGGGGACTAATTTCAAAATATGATGATTTTGGGGTCTAATATCAAAACCTGAAAGATTTGCGGACTAATATTGAAAAAATCTTTGTTTTTTATAATTAATTGGACCCATGCTTTGCCTGTGTTTATGGTTAGGATATTTTTATCAGTTCTCGTGTTTTTTAGGCTGAAAACTCAAATAAGTATTTTTTAGACTGAAAACTCAAATAAGTATGATATTGCAAATATGTTAGCAAGTAAAGGTGGTATTGACAAAAAAAATGTGGTAAGTATTAATTTTGATAAAAGTAGTAAAGGTGATATTGATGTAAAAACCCTTCTTAATTACATTATTAATAAGCACCCAAAGCCCTAATCTCTTTTTCTCTCTTCCTAGCTGCAACAAACACTAATCATAGTCTAGTAAATAGAAAAGCAAAAATATTGAGGGGAAATTTGAAAACGAAAAGAAAGCGACCATTATCTATAGTAGAAATGCAGTAAAAAGTATTTAGAGGGCGGAGATAGATTAAAATAAACCTTCAAATGATTCGATAGTGTATAGTCACTGGCAGCCTTCCCCAAAAATAGATACGACCTCTTTGCAATTGTTTAGGTGTCTTGTATCTTATAGAGGTGGAAAACTAGATTTAATAATGAAGTAGAAAACAAAGAAACTGAAATGACATTCAAGGAGCTCTTCAAGCACAAAGATTCAAACTCCAAAGAATAGATAAAAATGACTATCTGACTCTTGCTAGCTCAAAATAGCAAGAGGCTCTTCATATGAAAATTGAATGTGGGGAGGGCTCCTCATGCACAGAGATACAAAGACTAGATATAAATGGATTTCTGATGCTTGGTAGCTCAAAATAGACAGGCTTTTCATATGTAAACTAAGTGGCATTGATCAAGGAGCTCTTTAAGCACAAAGAGCCAATTTGGCAATCACTCAAAATTAGATCGGGTTCAAATCTAGTCCAATTTTGAGAACAATTCTAATTGAGAAAAATTGTGCCAAAGTTGGCCCAGTTTTTCTTAGGCCAAAAAATGAGCTTTAAACTGTTTCTATTTTGAACCAACTCCCCTTGGCTCGAAATAGAAATAGTTTAGCTTAACACTAGGCTAGGACCAGCCCTGGTTTAGTTTTGTACATTTTACCAAACAACGTCAAAGATTCAAATACTATAAATGGATATCTGACGCTTGCCATTATTGATGAACTTGCTTCTCTTTCTTTTATAGTGTTTATATACTTGTGAGGTCATTGGTATCTTCACTGCAAGACTTAAGCTAAGCTGTTGTCATGAATTTGATACTTTTTGTTAACACTTTTTAGATCTTATGTTGAATTCATTGATAACCCATCATAATTCTACTTTCAGATATAATTGGAGTAGGTTAAAAGTAGAATTATGATATGTTCAATAGTGAATTCAACGAACATTAAGAAACTTTGAAAATTAGCTTTTGGGTGCCACATGAGAAAATTTAGTAGAAAATTCTCAAGTTTGCATCACGTAAGATAAGGGCAAATTTTAAAAACTTCATAGTACATAGATGATGCCAAAAACAAGTGAGTATATATAAGTGTAAAATATGGAAAACTATGAAGTTTTTAAGTTCTGATTGATATTTATGCTCTAATTAACAAAAGAAAAATTGTAAACAATGTAAGTTGTGATAAAAGTTACAAGTTTAAGACAACACTGCATAGCACAGATAGAAGGACATTCTGGAAAAAAATTATCCATTAGATTTAATATATTCATTTCTCTTCTCGGTGGCATTTTAAGAATACATATAATAATAGTATTAGATTTGTACTCGTGATCTTCGTATGTTGTCTTGTGCATTTCAAATGAAAAAAATTGTTGTAAACATTGCTTTTAAAATATTTAGATATGTAAACTTCCTTTCGTATATAAACAAATGTCTATCAGGGATCATGCCCTCTTTGCACTAGACAGTCAAATCGGTCAATTTTAATCGTTCATTTGCTACCATGGTTCTTCATCAGAGCAATAGTAATTATGAGAGGGAGGGAGGGAGGGAGGGGGAGAGAGAGTAGACCACAATCACAATCAAGGGAGAAAATGACCCGCTTAGGTAAAAGTTTCGATGAAAATATTTTATCGAGCCCTTTTGAAACAACTTAAAGGAATTGAGGGGGTTTTATTTTGAAATACCAAGATTTTGGGGTCTTATATAAAAATAAATGAGATTTGAAGGTCTTATACAATAAAACCATTGAATGGTTGGTCTAACGAATCTTGAGACTCTTACTGAGGAATCTATCGAGAATGTGGCATCTCTTTGCCCTTTTGCACATCTAGTGAGTGCAACTCAGGCATTCCGTTACCTGGCGTGGAGGGGGAGAGTAGTAATATAATATACTGATGGCGTAACCTAAAGGAGAGGTTGGATCTGAAAAGCTTCGAGATGGCTTTTGCAATATGTTGGCTTCCATGAGAAACAGAATGAGATAAAACACCAAGGACGTGTGCGAGGCGCGGAGGAGGTTGTATGCATGCGAAAGGATACAAATTATTATTCCTGAATGCACATGAACCATATGCAAGTTTGGTGGCTACTTTAGTACCAACGTTAAGATGCCCTCCATCTATAGATTATTTGTAAGGTGAATTTGACGGAGCTATATTTTCAGAGAGGTGAGTGATGGGGGTAGGTATGATTGTGAGGAATCATGCAGGCGAGTTCTATGTGACTCTGTAAAAATTGTTTGGATACGAGGTAATGTTAAGGATGTTGAATTTCAAGTACTGTGGGAAGCGGTTAAGGTTTCCCTGGATATTAGATTTGGGAAGGTAATTTTTGAAGGAGATGCGGAAGCAATATTTAGAGACATCCATAATGTCTTGGAGCAACAATCCATTTTTTGGCGCACCAAGGATGCTATTCGACGATCCTGTATATAGCTCGAGTAACGGAATTTTGACATAACAAAAGTAGTAGTTCATAGTTCGACGCCGTCAAAACATTCATCAATGGGTTTGTCTGAGTTCACGAGCGAAGAAACTCCCAAATCCACAAGGTGTTACGAATGCACAAACACTGGAATCCACTAGTTGAAAGAGAGAAATCTCTAGGTTTTAATAATAATTTTCATTGATCAAAATTGGTACAATGGATACCTTTAAATAGGCATACATATTCGGTGATGAAAAAGAAATCTAAGCTTTTCCTTAGAGAAAAAGAATTCTAAACTAAGGAAAGAAATCTAAAATCTCTCCTACTTGAAGAAAAGAAGTCTAAACTAAGAAAAGACAAAATCTCTCGCAATTTATTGAAATCAATGCTTTCTAAGATCTTAGATAATATTATCTAAAATTTGCTACTCTGCTGCATCAGATTTTCAAGCAGCTCTAGTCGAACAGGTGCTCATGTGCTGGCTCGGAGTAAGGAACTTGAAAACTATGCGGTATGGCTCGAAAATGCTCCACCATTTTTACAAACTGTTCTGCACTCTGATAAGGAGAAGCATTTATCCATATTTTTTATCGTTGTACTACTGGAGTTTTTAATCTTTTAGATTAGATGTGTCTTGATAATTTATCCATAAAAAAAACTCACAGAATAAAATGTAAAGATTATAAAGGTATTCAAAAGACAAAATACCATGAACAGTACCATAAATAATAACCGGTTAATTTAAAAATATCTGATAAACAAATTAATCAGATATATGAAATCAATTTCAATGCCTACATAATAAATAGACACCTGGGGACATTTTGTAAAGGTGGCTTGGTTTAGTGCTTAGCAGTATCCACCATCTTTAAAGAAAACAAATGGTCGTTTTGAAATAAGGATGGAAAGATAATTTACCATAAAAATTTAAACAACAATTATGAAAGAGCCTAAAATTGAAGGAACTAAACAATGTGGAGGGTAAGTTGAGAATTATAAATATTTTGGGGCATATTAAAAATATGTACAACTTGGAGCGTATATATGAAAAAACCTATTGGAAAATAAAAGAGGGGGAAAAAGAAAGAAAGGAAGAAAAAGTGTGAAGAATTTTCAATTGTTTTCTTTGTCTTAATTTTCAACTGTTTTCTTTGTCCATGTAATAGCTTGTGACGTGGCTCGTTGAGCATATTTGGCAACTGTCTCTTAGCTTCAAGCCTTCAATCATGCAATAGAAATTTCCCTCTTCACTTTTAACCTTTTGTCTAATAGCTAATTTTTTTGCGCCAGTCTCAGTACGATGTGGATGGTGTATATGGTTCCCACTGGTCTTAGCAGTGCTCTCAGGTCTGTTTAGACAAACAATTATACTTTCAGAGTATAAACTATCTATCTTATGTCATTCCTATGATATTTCTTGTGTTTCCTCCCTTGCAGCATTAGAGTTTCAAATGAACTGGGTGGCGGACAACCTCAAGCTGCACGTCAGTCAGTGCGAGCTACTTTTATCATAACCGTCACAGAAGGTTTGCTTGTAGCATTAGCCACCATTTTGTTACGTGATGTCTGGGGATATTTGTTCAGCAATGAAGAAGAGGTGGTGAAGTATGTATCACGAATGATGCCAGTTCTTGCAACCTCTGACTTCCTAGATGGGATTCAGTGTGCACTTTCAGGTCTGAATTGTCAATAATATTCTATGTTTATGATATATTCTTAACTAGATTCGTTTGTGGAAGAATTTTTACAAATTATGGTTTGGAAACTCGGGATGTCAATCTATTAACCTAAGGAGCAAACAAAGAGTAGAACCCAATTTTATTTTTTTATTTGCTATGGTATATGACTTGGTGTGCAGTCTCACATGATAGCCAGGACAACACTTTTTAATTTTCTTTCTAGAGAAATAGGTTGGAAATTATCCCATATAATTAGACTGCTCTGTTGATAAACTTTTCCTTTCATTTAAAATTTGGTTATTCTTATCTCTTTTTTTTCTACCTGATATTAAGAATAATTCCTCGAGGAAATTGACTTGTTGAACATAGGATTTTGTCTTAATTCGACTTTACTGGACCTTTATCTGCTGAAAAAACGATTGTAGACATATTCTCAACAAAAAATTCCGCAAGCTATTATGGACATGTTTTCAACAAATATTTCGGCCGCTGAAAACAGTGCATGTCCATTTTTTAGTCAAGACAATATGTTGTTACAAATTGATAAATCACAAGCTTAAGTTGGGCCTGAATGAGTGCAAGTCAAGCTCAGTTTTATGTATGCTATCAGTTACTACACAAGTCAAATTTTGGGTCTAAAAGGACAGCAAGACAAATTAAGTTAGATCCAACAAATATCTTGTCAAGTTTTCAACTATGGATCTCTCACATTTGTAATTTTTAGTTCAGCTGCAAATTAATTATGACAAATAGCTGGTTTCTGGACATCTTCGCCTTTAGGTGCTGCTAGAGGGTGTGGTTGGCAGAAAACATGTTCGTACATTAATCTTGGAGCTTACTATGTTGTTGGTATACCTTCCGCTATTCTCTTCGCGTTTGTCTTGCATGTTGGTGGTAAGGTATGCCTCAATTTTCTCTTCCTTGTCTTTAAATGCTTCAAATATTATCTAATATCTCGTTTTTTTCTTGATTAATATCTATGTTTCTATTTTTTTTTCTTGCCAGGGACTCTGGATGGGCATCATCTGTGCACTCACTGTTGAAGTGCTGGTGCTTCTGGTCATCATCCTGCGCACTGACTGGGATAATGAAGTAAGCTATTGATTTACTGTTTGAAAAATGCATACATAGATAAACTACAGTCTTTCTTAGTAAGTGCTGAGCAATGGATCTTTTTAAGTTGAGAAATTAGTTGTGCTTTTACAAATTCTGCTTCATCCTAAGTTTATAGCCCACCTAAGATTTCGGTTTTACTTTTCTACTGTTCAAAGTTGTAAGATAAGTACCAAGTGTGGATGAGATTATGTTATTCTATTATGTGACTCAAATATGGTCATTATTCTTGCAAGCAACACATGCTTACACTATGGAATTTTGTGGTTTGGTTCAAAAGTGAAATTAAGTCGAAGCCACATTAGTAATTTTTAATCTCATCTTTACTCATGTTATGTAACCAACATAAGCAACAAACAATTAGGACTTTTCATGCCAATTTGTAACACATTTTTATTTTCTTGTTTCATATTGTTTCTTATTCTTGCATTGACGTGCACAACAGAAGTTCTGGATCAACTTGTACAAGCACTAGAGCTTTGATAATTTAAAAAAAATAGAGGAATTAAGAGCATAAAGATATAACACAGTGTGGCGCCGAACGCCCACGACCGAAAAAGGAGAATCAGCTAAATCTTGAAGGAGAGATAAAACGGAACATCTTATCAAATCCAGACCCCCAAATACACCCTTAACTCCTCATGAGAAAATAGAGAAAGAAACTTTAAATCAAGAATGCAAATGTTCTTCTCCATACTGCACTTAATTACTTCAATGAAAGTTATCTAAAACCCCTAAATTTATAGAATACATAGATGCAAAATTGCTCTAGACGATATGATGTGATCTCTGAAATATCTTTAAAAGATCTCTTTTAATATCTCCCATACTATCAGCTTGGAGAATGTTGATAACAGTCTGATCATTCCATTGAGTGAAACTAGCTTGAGCAAGCTTGTAAAGTGCTTGGTTTTGTCTAGAGCAAGCATAGATTCCAAGCTTTAGGAGTGCTAGTAAAGGAGTAATTTCTGCCGACCCACCCTGCAACTTCCCATTAGCAACAATCATGTGTCCATTATCAATTTCACATTAGTACAGTCAATATAAAAAACCAGTGCAATAAGTAAAAACAAGTACATGTGATTCAAATCAGTAACTATTGAATGAGGACAATAATCAAGTGCAAAATTGGCAGTTAGGCATCTGTTACATTCCGCTTCTCTGTGTATGGTTTTCTATGTAGGAAAATCTTATATGATATTCTTCCCAAAAGCTGGATATTGAGTTGTATCCTTGCACCTTTACCCTCGAAAGTTCGATTAGCTTGCTCTCTAATTTAGTTGCCTGTCTTATCCTTTTTCCATGAATACTTCCAAAATCCATCCTTTTTCTTACATACGATTTCCTTTTGCAGGCAAGGAAGGCGAGAGACCGAGTTTACAACTCTGCCATGACTGTTGATGCAACAGGTTGATGCGCGGCCGTAGACTTTAATTCTTCTATTCTATTCTGTAAATCTAATAATGTTCTTTCAACTTGAAGAACACCTATATTTTTATGATTCTATGCACGGAAAGCAAATAAATAAATATATATATATCTTTGACTTGATTTACTTCAGTTACTTACCATAAATTGGAAAGGAGATGATACCTACGATTGCTCCTGCTGTTGATTGTTCAACTCTTTTCCTTTGATTCTTGGAATCTGTTCAATGCCAAATATAATATTGAGGGTCTATAACATTTCTTCGTCTATGTGCTGGTTATCTGTATCGGATTATTTTTTTCCCCGTTATAAACTAATTATCTATATATGTATTGTTGTCTTCTCCATTGGGTTACACTGGCATGAATTAATTTAAGAGTTATATTAAAATGGACATGGCATTAGAGAGACTACAAATACTCATCATATGGGAAACAAAAAAGCATTGCATTCGTCGAGTCCTAGTTATTAAATTAACGCGCGGATGACCAAGAAAACGTCCCCTCCTTTCTTTAAGTTCGAAAGCCAGCAGCTCAATGGAAAGAGAAGATACGGTGTGCACCCTGGAAAAGTTTGCAATTTAGCACACTTAAATTAGATTTCATTATCTTTATTAGTAGGCTCACTATATTTGCATAACTTCTCTATTTTTTTTTTCCCTCTCATTTCATATGTGGGATCGGTTGTGAATAATCCATTGTGTAGCACGTGCTATATGCATTTCCTGATAAATATGACGCTGGCTATCGAGTTGAAATATGGATACAATTTTGGTAATGATAAATCTGCAAGAAAGATTCAGATCCTCTTTTACTGTGGTTGGAAAGTGGAGAACAGTTATTCTTGGTAAAAATGGGAACAAATGCAGCCCAAGAGGAATAAAGTGTTAGTTCTATGAAAATGAATCACAATTGTTTAAATATATCATTAAATGTTTTTTTATTAAGAAAGTAGACGGCACGGCGGTGGGGAGGTTGCAGTTAAGTATTAGGATACTTGTCTATGCCGTACCAATGGATATATGCCTTTTTAGTGAAGCCATATTTCTACTCTGTCATTAATTAATTGCTCAAGGCTCAGAGTATGAATAACATATCGCAAATATGGCGATCAACAAAAAATTTGTTTTGTCAACATCAAAATTTCATCTCTTCTGCATGTACAATGTTGGAAGTTTCACAGCCTAAAGAAGAATATAAAATGTCAAATCGTTCAAAACTTCCAAAACCCATCACGTATCTTCACAACACAAACCGTATACAGACATAAATATGAGCTTTACATTTTGGTCTCTTCTGGCAAGAGAGGGGGAGATGGAGAAGCCAACCCTCCTGTCTCCTCTCATCCCACAACAACAGTCAAGTATTTATCCCAAATGTTTGGGTAGGCTACATGAATTATATTTTTCCATTCTATTCTGTTATGGGTTATCTCTTCCGTTAAGTTAGTCCTAATCATATTCTTCTTAATCGCTTCTAACCAAGTTATTCTAGGTTTACCTCTAGATCTCTCAGCCCCATTAATTCTAATATTATAGCTTTTCCTAATCGGTGCACCAAGGGGTCTCCGTTGTACATAACCAAATCATCTTAATCTATTCTCTCTCATCTTATCCTGAATAGGAGCAACTTCTAATTTATTACTGATGTACTTATTTCTTATCATATATTTTAATATATACCCACAAGACCATCACAACATTCTCATTGCTACTACACTCATTTTTAAACATATTATTTTTTGATTGTCCAACACTCTGATCCATAAAGAATAGTTAGTATTATAATTGTTCTATAGAATTTTTCCTTTAGTTTCATTGATATTCCACGATCAGATAAGACTCCCGAAGTACTCCTCCAATTTCAACCATCCACATTTGATTCGATGCACAACATCACTATCTATCTCATCATGATGCCTAATGATTAATCCTAAATAGCAAAATTGATTAATTTTAGGTATTTCTTGGCCATCAATATGTAGCATAGACTCTCTTCCTTTCTTAATTTTACTAAAAATGCATTTCATGTATTCTGTTTTTTTTTTTTTACTATTTCTAAGACCTTTAGATTTAAGAACTTGTCTCCATCTTTCTACTTTAGAAATAATATCTCTTCTAGTTTCATCAACTAACACTATATCATCGATAAATAACATACACCATGAGAATGTGCTTAGTAAGTTGATCCATAACTAATGTAAAAAGATGAGGACTTAAAGCTGACCTTTGGTGTAAACTTATGGTAATAGGAAATTGTTTAGTCTCTCATTCATTAATTCTTAATCTAGTTGTTACTCTATTATATATATCTTTAATCATATCAATATATATACTAGATACATTTTTTTCTAACATCCACCACATTACCTCTCTAGGCACTCTATCATAAGCTTTTTCTAGATCGATAAAAAAATATATGTAGATCATTTCTCTTCTTTCTATATATCTCCATCAACCGTCTCAATATATGTATAGGTTCCATAGTTTACCTCCTAGGCATAAAACCAAATTAATTTTCAGATATACTTGTCACATTTGTTAGTCTTTGCTCAATTACCCTCTCACAAAGTTTTTTAGTACGAAAGTTTTATATCTTGATAATTTGAATAACTTTGTATATCTCCTTTATTTTTGTATATCGGTATCAAAGTACTAATTCTCCACTCATCTGTCATTTTTTTCGTCTCGATAATCTTATTAAATAATTTAGTTAACCATCCTAAGCATATATCTCTAAAATATTTTAAAATTTTAATAGATATATCGTCCGGTCCTACGGCTCTTCCACTTTTTATTTTCTTTAGAGCATCTTTAACCTCTCTAATCCTAATTTTTTTTGAATATCTACAGTTTCGATCATTCACTATATGGTCAAAATCTCTATTTTGCTCACTTGTTTGGTTATCATTAAACAACTAATAAAAGTAATTCCTCCTCTTCTCTTTTATTTCTCTGTCGGTCAGTAGAACTCTTTCATCCTCACTTTTAATACACTTAATATTACTCAAATCTTTATTTTTCCTTTCTCTAATCATAGCAAGCTTGTATATATCTTTCTCTCTCTCCTTAGATTCTAAATTCTTATAAAAATTTTCATAAGTCTTGTATTTATTCTCACTAATCGCTCTTTTTGGTTCCTTCATTACTAGTTTATATTTTTTTTTCAAGTTTTCCTTACTCCTACACTTTTGCCACTCTTTATATAAAGTTTTTTTTCCTCTCAGATAACCTTTTGCACACTCTCATTCCACCACTAACTCTCATTACTACCTAATCTACAACCTTTAAATTCTCCTAGTATATTTTGAGCCACTTTTCCAATACAAGAAGACATGCTATTCCACATAATATTAGTCTCACTATCTATATTCCATATATCTTCTTTCATTATCTTATCTTTAAAATGTATTAAATTCTCCCTTTTTAAATTTCATCGTGTAATTCTTAGTCTCTTGTTCACGATAGTTTTTCCACTCCACTTCTTAATAGATTTGTCTAAAACCATCAGTCTATGTTGTGTATTTAAACTCTTTCCTGGTATAACTTTATAATCTTTACATATTAACCTATCCGCCCTTCTAGTAAGAAAAAAGTCTATTTAACTATTATTAAAATCACTTTTAAAGGTTATTAAGTGTTAATCCCTTTTTCTAAAAGGCGTGTTTACTATTATCAAATCATATGATATTGTAAACTCTAAAGTTAATTTACCCATATGGTTGTTATCTCCATACCCATATTTTTCGAAGTCTCCCCTCATCCCGTTGACATTAATAGCTTCATCTCCGTTAATGGAGAAGGCATTGTGGCCGAGGTCAAGAAGCAGCAGTGGTTGGTGGGGCATCTCATTGCATCCAGCCTTCTTCAGTACATCCTTTAGGATATTTCAGTACTGTTTGTAGGTCATCTTGGAGAGCGCGCTCTCTCTCTCTCTCTCTCTCGTCCTTCTTCAGTACTTCCTCCATTTTTATTTTTATTTTTGTGAGAAACTACTGGCCTTATGACAGTCAATCTAGGCTACTATTATCAGGATGCGAATACCATGGATGCAAAGTTAAAATCCATACCATTTGATGTGATAGCATCTACATCGACTATCTTGAAACAGAATTCCCAATGATTTCGTTGTGTTTTTAATCACGTACCAAATGGTGAACAATTATGCGATTCTATGGAGCTTCACAAAAGAGCAAGAATTAGATCTAAACTACAAGCGAGAAAATAAAAATTAACTATCAAGAAAAAACGAGCATAAAAGTAAATCTAAAATGAGAATTAAAAGAAAAAATATAGACTAACTACAAGGTAAGAAAGAAATTCTATAAAGAATGAAAATATATTTAAATAATAAAAATAAAAAACATAAAAGTAAATCTGTATTACAAAGCAAGAAATAAATCTAATCTACCAATATAAAAATAAAAGTAAGAAAATTAAGTCCTAAATATACAATTCTAAAACAAGAAAATAGAAGGAGAAAATAAAAACTTATATTGCAAGGGGTTGATCTATTGAAGGCAAATCTTCATCTTCATCAACAAAGAAGAAGAAAAGAAGATTTAAAAGGAGTAAATTTTTATTTATCATAAATAAAAGTTTATAATTTTAAAAGGTCTTCTCAATTAAGAGTAACTCTCCTCTCCAAATGAAGTTTTTAGAAAAAAATTTACCCACAAACCTTTTACATTCTACCCTTATTTATAGTCTATTACAATCAACAAGAGTCATTAAATTAGTCTTGGGCTCCTAGAAATAAATCTCAGTCATACACTATTCTATTACGAACCAATCCGATTGGCCAATCTGTTGGTTAACCAATTGGCTACTCAGTTTGTTAACTGATTGGTTCTTAACAGATTTGATTCCTTTGTTGACTTGTTGACCCGGTTTTTTCTTGATCTCTTAGGTTTTTGTGGGTCTCTTCTTGGCTTGATCTTTGACTTCAATAAATAGTTAAAAAATAAGAGAATTTGGTTCCTTTGGGCTCTTATTCATTAATTCTTCATAACTTACAAATTAAGATAAAAACACTTTATTAGTAAATATTTATTCAAATAAAATAGATAATGAGGGTATAAAAATATAATAGAATGTGATGACCATGTGCTATCAATACTTGTTGTTGA